GGGTCTCGAACTCGCAGGCTCAGGCAATCCACTCACCTCAGCCTCCCAAAGGCGCGGGATGACAGGCTGAGCCACCGAGCCCGGCTACAGAGAACTTTCAGTGTGTTGGACCCCATGCTCAGTGCTTTAAATGCATTACTTTGTTTCACCGACTGTTGCCCACGAGGAAGGGACTATTATAGATTCTGATTTCGAAAGGAGGAAAGTGAAGCTCAGAGAGGTTGGTCATATATTCGAAGGCCACCCAGATCAGAGGAGCAGAGCTTGGATTTGAATCCGGCCCCGACTTCAATTATGCTACAATGCCTCTTATGTCATTGCCCCGCCTGTCAGTTTCACCAGATCAGAGTTGCACTGTGGTTGTATTAAGGCTCCAGTGAAATGCTTGGTATTTATCTCCTATCCTTGCTGCCTATAAATAGTGTGTTTCCTTCTTGGATGAATGTGGACACTTGTTAATGACATTCATAAAGTGATCCTAAGGCCCTTTATTAACTAAGAGACAGAAAATCCGGCTCTTCACAGTAGTTATTTCTGAGAGCTGGAATTTGCGAGGGACTTTCCCTTTCTAAGTTTTATAATTTTATAATATTGGGTTTCTTTCCTTAAACAATAGCCATGGATCAAGTTAGAAAAGAACACCACAAAAATACTATTAAGCTTGAAAAGAAAAAAAAAGCTGGAATCCCCTGGGTGCTTATTCTGGAACTGTCCTTAGCTGTAAAACCTCTTAACCCTTCACCTCCTCACGTGCAAATGAGGAATTAGGTGATCTTCCTGCTTCCTTCCAGTTCTCATATTCTGATGAGTCTAAACCAAAGTTCACAACTACTCAGGCAAAATGCAAATTACAGCCTTCTTGGATTCTGATGTCTGCTATGGAATTTCCGGTCCTCCCACTGCACAGTGGGCATGTTTTGTCTTGCTTCTTTTATGCATTTATATTTTTTCTTATTGGTGCATGAGTTGTACAGAAACTTGTTTAATGAATCATTTCAAGAGCCAACACAGTGATTCCATAGAGTTTGATGGAAACTCCACTTAAAATGTATGACTCACACAAAAAAACTTAAATTTCCATACCTGGTTATCCTATGACAGCTTGAATGCATGTCATTAAACTGGACTGAACTATTTTTTAAATTAATAATAACACTATTATTTATCAACTGCCTGCTATGTGCCAGGCAGTGTACTAAGAGGTGTGCCGATGTGACCTTATTTAATCTTCACAAAAACCCTGTGAGAGACATGCTATTATTATTGCCATCCCCATTTTACAGATTGAAAAGCCAAGGTATAGAGAGGTTAAGTAATTAGCTACTTCATGTCTTTGAACTAAGCTGGGTTTTTGTTTCAGTTATCCACTGCTGTGTAACAAATTGCCATAAAACAGTGGCTTAGACCCACCTGGGAACTTGGCGAGACCTCATCTCTACAATAAATCAAAAAATCAGCCGGGCATGGTAGCACATGTCTGTAATTCCGGTTACTTGGAAGGCTGAGGCGGAAGGATCGCCGGAGCCCAGCAGGTCGAGGCTGAGGTGCACTCTAGTGCACTCTAGTCTGCACTCTAGTCTGGGCGACAGAGTGAGACTCCAACTCAAAAAAAAAAAAAAAAAAATCACCACTGTGTTATTTTTCATCGTTCTCTGGGTTGCCTGGGCTCAGTTCTCATTTGGGGGTTCCTAGATGACAGCTAGACTATAGTCATATGGATGCTGAAGCAGGACACTGGGACATCCAGCCTTCTCTCTCTCTGCATATAGTCTTATACATCTCTATCTGGTGTCTCTATGTGGCATCTCTGTGTGACCTCTCTATGAGGCCTTTACATGCAGTCTCTTTACCTGTTCTTT